CCCCAAAACCCCAAAACCCCAAAACCCCAAAACCCCAAAACCCCTTTTATCCTTTCCAATGTTGAATAATTCAAAAGATTTCGATTCTATTTTCTGATAGATTTACGACTATTTTTTAATTAGCCCCTTCTTTTGCATATACTTCACAGATTTCTCAGGCTTTGAGACATAATCTCTAGTATAGGATTTCTGGCCTCCGACTGCAAGATTGATATCCATAGATGCCATATCATCAGTGAGTTTGATAAGCTGGCCTTCACTGTTCATCTTCTCCTTAAACTCCTCTTCAATAAACTTCTCTTCTTCTGTGAGGTCGGTGAAACCTGCTAACTTCTTTACTTCTTCAGAAACCTCAAGGCTCTTAAGAGTTTCGTGTTGCAGTTCTACATTGTCAGCCATTGGAAGGAACTCTGCCTGGATTGGTCTATCTTCAGCCATTCTTTCGCTTTCTGTCTGGAGTAATGTCTCGTGATCATCAAATCCTCCTTCTCAGCCAATGCACCAGAAATCGCCTTCGAATCTGTAGCATCCTCAGTTGCAACTGAAGTAATTAGGATCGTGCTCTTCGTGGTTATGTCCACATTTGCAGTTAGGCCTCCATTTATTAATATTGAATCCCTTTCTTCTTGGCAAATGATACAGGCCACATTCTTCAGGTCTTCTAGGGATGAAGTGGAGCTCTTTGCATGAGCACTTTGCACACTTGGTAGATTGTTTCTTCTTATTCACTTTCCTGTCGTGATCTTTACCATAGTGGCCACAAAAGCATCTTGAAAAATGGCCAACTCTAAAGCAATCCTCTCCTGTTTTGAGAGATCTCCATACAAGGTAAATTCCAGTCTCTGCTGCCTCGGCTGCATGGGTGAACTCCCATGTCATCATTTTCTTACCACCTACAGAGGGTCCGAACTGTTTGACCCCCTGCATGATCCCTGTTGCTGACTTTGGCTGGAACATAATGATTCCTAAAACTATTTAATCTTGCGAAACTGGGGTTTTGGGGTTTTGGGGTTTTGGGGTTTTGGGG